TTCCCCGTTATTTCCTCAGGGCTTTTTTCCTTGTTCTTTTTTCGCGTCTCCCCCTCCCCAAATTCCGCCCCTCCCCCCTCATCCGGGGGGTCCCTCTGATGGTTTATTTTTGGGGGGGGGAGGGATCGGGGATTTTGGGGTGACTCGTGCTGCTCTGGATGAATTTTTTGTTTTTTTTGTGATTTTTTTGTTGTTGTTCTTTTGTTGTTGTTTTGTTTTTTAGGGGAGGGGTCCGCAGGGGGGTTTTTTTTTTTTTTGTTGTTTTTTTTTTGAGGAGGGGTCTCGGGGCTGCCAGTCCGGGGGGTTCAATATCAACTCTTGTCGGTGGCGGGGTCTCTGTGGCGCGAGGTTTTCATGGTCTCCAGGTACTCCTGCTGCGACACCGCCAGCACCGACGCCAGGATCTCGTCGTCCTCCCAGTCGTTCAGGCCTGCATCGGACACGATTCCATTTCATTCCGTTTATTTTTATTTTAATTCCATTGGTTTTTATTTATTTCTGGTTATTTTTATTTCTTTTTAGTTTATTTTTATTTGGTTTTGCTTATTTTGATTTATTTTTAGTTTATTTTTATTTATTTTTGCTTATTTTTATTTATTTTTATTTTATTTTTACTTATTTTTATTTTATTTTTATTTCAATTTGATTTATTTTTATTTTATTTATATTTATTTTTATTTATTTTTACTTATTTTTATTTATTTTTACTTATTTTTATTTATTTTTATTTATTTTTGCTTATTTTTATTTATTTTTATTTTATTTTTATTTATTTTTCCTTATTTTTATTTTATTTTATTTTTATTTTTATTTCATTTTGATTTATTTTTATTTCATTTTGATTTATTTTTATTTTATTTTTATTTATTTTTATTTTCTTTATTTATATTTATTTTTACTCATTTTTACTCATTTTTATTTATTTTTGCTTATTTTTAGTTTATTTTTAGTTTATTTTTATTTATTTTTATTTATTTTTATTTTATTTTTATTTATTTTTATTTATTTTTACTTATTTTTACTTACTTTTATTTATTTTTACTTACTTTTATTTATTTTTATTTATTTTTAATTTTATTTTTATTTTATTTTCATTTTATTTTATTTTACTTTATTTTACTTTATTTGATTTTTACTTTATTTTCCTTTATTTTTCCTTAATTTTTACTTTATTTTACCTTTTTTTACTTTATTTGATTTTTCCTTTATTTTTCTTTATTTTCCTTTGTTTCCTTTATTTTTACTTCATTTTTACTTTATTTTACTTTATTTTATTTTAATTTTACTTTATTTCATTTTATTTTAATTTAAAATCCTC